GCTGAAGCCCTGCTTTCCCTGAAGCTGCCTCTGTAAAGAGCCCGAAGGCTGAGACTCTCATGTGCTCTTAACCAAACTGCACCCAAGAGACGTGCAGGTGGAACACCAAATAAAACTGAAATGTTTGAGAATATACTGGGGAGAGGTGTTTGATCTCTAAGCCTTAATGCTGGACAAGCAGTTTGGATATATTGTCAGAAAGCATATTAGCAAATAGACTCAGAAATGGATTAAATAAAATGTGTGACCAGATGATAGAAACTTCCTGGGAGGAGAAAAATAAGAGACTTCTGGCAAAACAAACTGACAATTATGAATGTTTTAAATCTTTATCTTTTTATGTATAAGATCAATAAGCCTGAGCACAGTACATTAAAATCTTTCTATATAGTATTCTAATAAACATACAGCTAGAATGGCTGTTGAAATAAACTCTTTATAAATATTTTTAGGAGATGCTTTTTTCTTTCCCCAGAGAATAACAGAACAAAATGTTTAATCCCAAATGCTTATCTTCCTGTATTTGGGAGAGACTGAGTAAATAGAAGAATTAATAAACTCTGTCTCTGGATATAGAAATTACTCTCTGCAGCTTTCCCGCCTGCAGGGCTTTTTGCTCAGTACAAGAATATGCAATACACGTTGTCAAATGCTGGGGATAAGCCAGAGAGAGAAGAACCTGCTGTTTTACTGCCAGTGGCATCTTTAGATGAAGGAGAAAATTGACTAGGGAGTTTGGAAAAGTTATTTGAAAGACTGATGCTTGGAATTTGAGGAGATGATCTAACTGCCTTCACAAAGATAAGAGCTTTTAACCCTCCAATTCTCCAGCAAACCTTAACCTATTAAATATAGACACTGTTTTCATTATATTGAGATGAAATATTTTTCCTTTAAATCTCACTGTTGGAGCTTTCTCATTGCTTATTTTTTTGAAACGTGTCATTTGGGAGAAGGGAGATGAACTTCATAAAAACAATGAGCAGGCTCATTTGCTGCTCCCACACCTGCCATGGTCTGCAAACCTGCATAGGTGACATCCTAGCAGCTGGGTACCTGTATATTCTGAATAGTGGTCCTTTGCTTCTCCTGGAGGTAAATGCAGTCTTTCTGAGGAAACTGGTATGAATGTGAATGGTAGCCCTCCTAATGAGTTGACAAAAACCAGGAAGGGAGAGGTTTGTCCTTCAGTAGCTACTGAAGGTAATAGCTAATTAATTATTGTTTTACAATATTAAATTGTAAATATTAAATTTACAAAATTAATTATTGTTAACAATAATTGTTAATTATTGTTAACAAGCAATATTATCATCACAATTTGAAGAAATCTTCTGACAGAAGAGTAAAGCTGCAAAGACACAAGGGACAGTGAGTCTCATGAAGGTAAAGCCTATTCATCTCTTCTTTCAGGGTTTGTCTTAGATAGGGATCTCCTTTTCTTCACAAATAAAAACAGAAATAGAGGAGAAAAATCCTTTTCTGCTAAGGACTTTAGTTAATAAATTCTTTAGGTGGGCTTTTTGGTGGTGTTCTTATTTTTTGCAAGTTTTGGAAGTTTGAAATACCTTGCTGTGATTAAAAATCTGGTAAAAACTGTAAAGAGTGAGCCGTTCTGCTGGTGCCTGCCTACCATGAGGGTGGCATCCCCAGCCCTTGTACGGCCATGGTGCTTCACCAGCACTGGTCTGTACTGGCTGCTCCTCGTGTGAAAATGGCTTTTACATCAGACTGGCAAGTTGTGGAGCACAGAATTGCTGGCCTGTGCTCTTGCATGCACGTCCTTGAAATGACCTTTACCTCTGTGAAGGTGAGAAGGGGGTATAAACACCACTGCCTCTCTGGTTTTAGGCAGTGCCTGAGATGCCTGAGCTAAGGCGAATGTTTCTGTATCGCCTTATCCCGGAGGATGAAGGGACAAACCAGCCTTGCTGAGGTGAACACTGGAGTTGGCTTTACCCAGCCTTGCTGCTGAGCTACAGGGGTTAAGTCCAGCCTTTGTAACACCTACTCAGCCAGCAATTGCAGTTATTAAGGGCGGCATGAGATGTCATTACAACATAGTTGGGAGCATCCCTTCCATTCAGGGGTAGGGAGGGACATTGTTCATACCAAAGCCGTCCAAAGATGCGTTTATGTCACTCCAAAGTGTGGCAAAACCCCTAGATGCTCTGCCCTATATAAGTGACATATTTTATTTACGTTTCCCAGTTCAGTTGTTGATTCTCCTGCTGTGAGATGTTTGCTGTTGCTTCCTACAGAGTATAACAAACTGTATAAATCAAGTAGTCAGGTTTTACAGAATTACAAACCCATGAGGAATTTAATTTGTGCCCTGAAGGGAGGACCAGCCACTGGCTGGACTGCTTGTGAGTGGAGTCGTTAATAGTTCATTGGTAACCATTAAGCAGCTTGAAAATATTTGGCCTTTGAGAGTAACCTGAGCTCTGCTGCAAGAAAAAAGGAAAAGAAAAAAAAGATAAAGGGAAAAAAAAAAGCATAGGATAGCAGTGGGATAAAAATTGAGTTTAAATTGAATGTTGCCACTACAAAGTTAGGACTAACTTCTCACTAGCAAATATAATAGAAGCGTATCTTTGCTACATCTTTTAAGATCACAGTTTTATTGAATACAGAGAAATTAATTTAGATTCATAAAAATAGACCCATTACAAAGCAATGCAGTTTTTGGCAGCTGTTTGTTTAAACGTAAGGAGTAAGGACTGTCAAAGGCTTTAAGAAGGAATTTGAATGTAACATTAAAGCACGTATGAAATTTTTGCTGACCTGCACCAATTACAGCAACTGATGGTTTAAGTCATATGCAAAGTGTTGCATAATTAATTCCATGTTGACAGCCCTGGAGATTTAAATCAGAAAAGAACCAGCAGCTCTGCAAACCTTTACACAGCTGCTTCAGAGCTATTCTTTAGGGACTTTCTCCATTATTAGTCATTCTGGGTCCACTTGATTTTTGAGTTCTTTGCTGAGATTACCTAAAAGGTGAATGTGCTCCAAAACTAATTTGATGCTGCAGAATTTTGAACAATAATACATTTTGTTTCTTGGTAGTCTGAGACAGTATGTGTAGTAATTCCAGGCTGGAATTAAAGTGCTCCACTGCATGTTCCTGTGAGGGAATTTGACTGAGATAACTGGTTAATTACAGTTTTAAGAGATTACTTACTGAGGAATTGGGAAAGATCGAAAATGTTCTGCCCACTGAGAGATTTTCCTCTAGTTTTAGACCAGATGCAGAAAACTTCGTGCAAAAGAAAACATTTTTCTTGTTTTGCTGTTGCAAATGCTGAATTGATTTCACTTGCATTAGTATATCTTATTGTTTAAGCAGAAGATATCTTGTGCTGAGAGAAAATACCAACAGCTCAATGCCTTGCTCTTTCAAGAAAGAGGCTACAGACTGAAATAGTGGAAGAAACCTGTTTTTATATGTAGGTGATTTGCCTTAAGGCTCCTCTTAGGAGAGTCTTGCTGGTGTTTAATACAATCTGCTATTGCCTGAGAAGTACTTTTTCTTGAAGTCAACAGAAAAAATACCCTGAATGAGTTTCATGAGTTCTACATCTCAGCACTTTCATTACACAATGCTTTGTAGATGCTGTGTGCCTGCTGGTATAGCTGCCTTCTGTTCCCCCGACCTTCCCCAATACCTGGAAATAAGTAACTGGGAGAACTTGCTTAGGCAGGTTCAGTTTACTGACTTTTCTGAGATTTTACTTCAGACTGCAAAATGTCGTGTTGGGTGTCACTGAAGTGTAGAGTAAACCAATGATTATGATTGCAAAGTTGAAGATAAAATATTTGAAGATCAGGGTAGTGGAAGGTGGCAAAAATTATGCATGCTGCTTTTCTTACGTGGATATGACTTGGTGATTAAACTAGATTGTTTCTGAGAATAAGAATTCTGGCTTGAATTTATGACCTGAAATTTTGAGGTGGACTAAATCTGCTAATTAGTAGTTTACTATAAAATATGCTTAGAAAGTTAGCCTATTTCTCAAGTTGTGAATGTACAATTATTAAGATAAAAAGACTGCAAGATGACACCACTAAGGAAATACAGAAATGTTTATATTGACTGCAGAGTAAGCATAAATCCTTTCTGCATTTCTTTGCATTTAAAAATATTTCTTTTCAACACCATGACTTGTATTCTGACCTACTAATTTATTAATGTATTTTTATTACATTTAGGCATCTCGGGTATTACTGTTAAGCTTTTTTTTCAGTGTATTGCTATAAAGGAGTTCACAGCATGAAAAATGTATATTGTATAGAAACTGCCCAGTGCTATTTACATGCCTTCTCTTTAAAAACAACTGTTTAATTTTTCAGATTGTCAGTGTAAAAATGTTGTTTACTTGGAGTTAAAGCAAAGTTTTTTCATAAATTATGTATGAGCATATGCAGTGGCTTTTTGCACCTACAAGTGAGTACTATTGGTTAATGTTGCTTGCCCCAGACTATTTCCTGTCAGTTGTTAAAAGCACTTGCTAATGGAACTCTATATCCTAATAGAATATGCTTTGTTTCCTGCTTCAAAACTGGTGAATTGCCTAGGTGTCAAACAGTAGTAAATTCTTAAGCAATTCGCTGTACTTCGCTCTGAAAATTTTCCAGTGTATTAGTCATTGCAGTTGTACTAGCTGTGTTTCCATCAGTGAGTAAGGAAAGCCTAAAAGGGACAATGACAAAATGAGATTTTAACACTGTCTTGTGCAAGTCAGTGTTGACATTTTCCAAAAAAGATTATGCAGTTCCTTTAAGGATATTATGTGTGCTTCTTGTGGGGTGTACATTTACCTTTCAGAAAAATAGCCATCAAAAATACAAGAGAAAAAAAATGTCCACATTATATTTTCAGAAGCTTAATTTTGGGTTTCTCTTACTTTTGGAATTACAATATAAAGTAAACCTAGAAGAATGTAATTGCTACAGTAAATCTGCCTGCTAAGTACCAAATCTTTTTATATTTTCAGAAAAAAGCCAAAGGCCAGCTTCTGTTTGAACAGATCATGTATCATCTGGACCTTATAGAAAGCGACTACTTTGGACTAAGGTTCATGGATTCCGCACAAGTGGCGGTGAGTTGCAGTACTCTTCCCCCCCCTCCCCGACTCCAAGCAACAATCTAAAAGTTAAATCTTGATATTAACCAAAATGCTATAAGAAAGCTGCATTTTTTGAGTGAAGTTTTGTGCAGAAGCTCTGTGGTGTGTTAGTGTAAGTGACTCCAAGTTTAATTCTACCTCGAGCACTCTAACATATTACAGTGCTGTTGTCTCTTCCTTTCTTGTCTTTCACTTGTTCCTGTCACACCTTCTGTTGTCCTTAGGCTGGCTGGTCCAGCAGGACCCCAGAGCCTGGCACATATGTAGAAATTCTTGATGCTGCTGATGCAGAGAGGAAGAGGCAAAACTAGAGTGTGTGCTTGGCTCTGTTGTCCTACAGAGTGGAGAAAGTTTTCCTTTGCCAGTGCCATTAACTTTCTCATCAGCTAAAGTCATCTTGTTAATGTCTGCTTGGGAAATAATCTTGGTAAGAGGGGTGTACCTTTGATTTGCTCAAACTGGTTATGACTCAGACCTGCAACTAGAAAATTTTGGGAGAGTATAGTTGTGTTTGCATGTACCAAACAGTTTGAGTAGAGGGTTCTTGGAAGCCTGAGTTTATTTGTGAAGTTTGTTGTATGTTTGTAAAAATGTGACTGCTTTTGAAAACAGAAGCAGGGCATTGTTTGTCACAAACAGCCACAGTTCTTTCACTTGCAGGCAGTGTAGTTTTGTACAGATACTTCTTATGACCAAGTGCTTAATCCTGCCCGCAAGATAACTGCAAGTTAAGAGAGGCATTGGTCAAGGAATGGATTTTTCTGTCCTGCATGCCTGTAACTTAAACCTGTATTCACTTATCCCAACACCCCCAAGTAGAATGAGATTTGAGTTTTCATACCTTGTACATCAGTCTTATTTGTTACATGTATCTAATTGTTTCTGTGTTTCAAGTCCACTTCAGAATTATTTAGTGATTAGGATGGCAGAGTGGAAGCAGAGACTGTTGCTGCTGAGCTAAATACCTGAATTGTTCGAGGTCAGCATACAAAAGAGGCAATGACATATGTTCCTTTACTTCTGTGAAGGTCTATGTCCAGAACAATTTGAAGGTGACATCTTAATCGTTACAGCTTTGTAGAATGGCAAAAAACTCCTCAAGCTTGAATCTTTGAAAGAAGCTGACAGCTTTGCACACAGTGTTATCCACCCCAAAGCACACTTACAACCTGATGGCTTCTTTTCAAAATTATTGCTATTGAGTTTTATGCTTAGTTCCTAATTGTAGACAGTATTCTCTTTGGTGAAAATAATTTGTGCTTAGCATCTGAAGCAAACTTAATGACTAGTGGGATTAGCTGCTGCTGGGCTGCTGCTTCCAGTCAGTTAAAATGGTCTTAAGCCTCCTGCAGAACAGAGATGTCTAGCACTAAGGAGAAAGACTTGTACTAATGGAGGGATGTTAGTCGGAAACATGCATACCTCTTACCAGCAGAAATTAGAAAACAACCCATTGCACAAACCATTTTATATTTATAAAAGTCCTGTTTGCTGTGTTAAGTGTGTGTGTGCAGTCTAGGATAGTGAATGACTCCATTGCATTTATTTTTTGCTTTTGGGAAAAAAAATAATCTGTATGGTTTAGGCATTCCAACTCAATTTCTGCCACATGACTTTTCTGCCACAAGTATTTCCATGTGACTCTAGATCACAGTGGGTTAGTTATGGAGAAACCATCTGTATGGTAAACTTCTTTCTCATACTGTTCTGTTAGCAAATAACGTCATTTCAGTATTGAAATGGGGAAGTAAGAGTTAATTTTTTATGCCTCAGCAATGGCTCATGGCTTGCTTTTTGTTCACCAAATTGTTACTGCCAGTCCAGACAGCACCTGATTGAGTATTTGTTACTGCACAATATACCAGGTACAGGCGATTTCAAACTTAGTTTGCTTCCTTTTCTTAACTATGTGTGACTGAAAAGAGGCAGAGTAGAGATAACAATCTTTTTCAACTGGACTGTAACGATACACTCTGTATAACGAAGCTGGAGAGATTGCATTTTGCCAGAAGAGTTGAACACAACTGCTAGAGATAATTGCTTTAAGAAATGAAGGACTGTTGTGATGTTAGCTGTTCTTGCAAAGAGGAGCTGGCATATTCTAGCAGAAGCCCAATCTGCAACTGGAAACAAAAGCAGAGACTAATCAAATGACTTGTCAAAGATTATTTAGGAGACTTGTTAAATAAACAGTGTAAGAATCCAGTCCTTTACTGTGAACAGAATTGTCCGCTGGCTCTGAGGGAGAGAGTTTTTCTGCTACCCAATTTGAATCTAAGTACATTGCCTTACTAGCTAATTGCACCTGATGATATAAAAACACTGACAAACTAGCAACATGTAGTTATATAAAAATTGAGAAGATTAATTTTGAACAACTGAAGGATAGCTTTTTTCTTCTTTTGAGCTGTGTAAGTGACTAGTAGATAAGTGTTTGAGTTTGACTTAGGAGGGGAAAAAAAACAAACCCAAATTAATACAAACTCTTAGTGACATTATGGATTCTAGGGTTCTCAAATACTGTCTTCTTTAATAAAGTTATTGAAATAATTAGTGAAGTGAAAGAACTGTTGTTTCCATGTGATTTCTGTGTTCATTGCTAGGCTGATAGTTAGGAATAGATTCTCCCTCACCTCCCCAGTAAGAGGCAGGAGATGGCAAAGGGATTTATTTGCAGGATTGTCCACCATGTATCAGACTTGATCTGGCAAAGGACCAAGCTATTGTTAACTTGAGCAGCTTTGATTTGGGCTGATAGTGAACAGCACAGCATGTCTGGTGACAGGAAAGATGAAGATTATTGTTAACTTGGGGCACTATTTGGCTTTCCCTTTAGCAATGCTGGAAAGATGTTTCTAGTAAGGAGGCACTGAACACTTAACAGGTGATGAATTTTAATTCTAACATACAAGTTGCAGGCATCAAATACTTGCTTTTCCTAATGGGACTGTACAACATGTTGGTTTGTTACTCTGGCAGTTTTGTCTAATGTTCTGCTTAATGCTGAAAATAATTTGAATAGCATTGCACTAAGTGTGCACCTATTACTTCCATAAAATATGGGACTAGTTCTAGCCTCACCATCTTACTAAAAAAACCTACCTTCTTGAAATGTTGCTGGTGTGATTTTTTTTTTATTATTTTTTTTTTTCTTTTTCTGGAAGCAGCAAACTGTTTTAGTCAGGACTTCCAGTACTCTGCCCAGTCTGTTCGTATTGCTTTTTGTTTAGGAAACTTTTATCTCTGGATTTCAGCAGCAGACTGTGCTGAGCAAACTCTCATCAAAATGTAAACTTTTTGCCAGGTCCACTTGAATTCCATTTTAATCACTTGGAATAAATCTTAAGTTTCCTGTCTGTGTGTGTCCATGCATGTGTTGGTTTGGGGCTTTTTTTTTGTTGTTGATTTTTATTTCGTTCCACTCCATTTAAAAGCAGTTCTGTTTCCCTTCTTCCACGAACACGGTTACCATTCAGATGGAGCTCTTGTAGGCAGCTGTGGTAAGAGCTGAGCAGAGTAAAACCCTATCAGTGCCTGTCCTGGGCCTCTCGGTTGCCTTCCCTTGGAATGTGGAGTTGATGAGAGAAAACAGGAAGGAGATGAAACAGGAGTGCACAGCCAGTCCTGGAGCCCAGAAGTGTCTTGCTTTACCATTTCTGTATCTAAATCACCTGCAAGCCTCCAAGTAGGTAGTTTGTATGTTTTTATGGTGGAGGAAGTCAATTGTCTCTTCCAGGAAGTGAGTTTATGGAATAGGAAGAAAGATTATATCATTTTCTTCAAAAAACCAAACAAACAGAAAAAATTGCTCAACTACATTTTGCTGATAGTGTAAGCAAAGTTGACATAAATATTTGCTTCATTCTTCCTTAAGCTTCCTGCTTTATTTTACAAATATATTAGATATATTTCAGACAGCTTTCGGTTGTAGCTACTTTGTTTTAATAGGTAATGAGATCATTTTCAGCTGTGTGTGTAGCAGCAGTAGATGGCTTGGTTGTTCTGATCTGCAGCTGATATATCAGTCACTGCATATCCTGCCTGTGTTACAGGCTGACGTTACTCTGCAGAAGGCAGAGGCAGGAATGTGTTTGCTCTTGGCATTGTAACCTGAAAATACCGGTTCTTTCTCATACCCCTGTTGCTTTTCTGTCCTCCCTGGGGCCCACTGTGAACTTCATGGCACGTAGTTTAACGAAAGGAGTGTTGCTAAGTATGTAATTCATCTGTATTAGTTGCAGGGTGACATTTGGGACTGATCAAATGAGGTGTTGTTACCTGGGCATTGTGAACCATGCAGGACACAGTGTGCTGGGTCGTTTGCTCTGGCTGTTGAGTCAGTGCAATTATGTTGAGTAGGGTGCTGTGTTTACAGTTTAACTGAGTCACCCTCCTCTTTGGAGGCAGGAGCTGTTCACTATGCACAGCACTTGCAAGTAGGTCTCTACCGCTAGCTGTATGTTAGCCTTCCAGCTTTATCTTTAATTTCTGGTATAAACTCTTCAGCAACGAGAATATATACAATTACCTGAGGGAGCATAGCATATGCATATAGATGTTTCTCTCAGCCTGCCATCTATAGCTTATATTTCACATACTGTTGTATGCAGTATAACTGAAGCCATTGTTTTGGCTTCATGTCTAGTATACAACTTACAATTAGCATTAGCAGGTGAGGCAGTAAATTCTGTCCTCTCATGTGACGATTGCTAAAATGCCACCTGTGAATATTTTTGGGAGAATTAGGTAGAGCACATAGACAGCTTTGCTAGTACTGCACTTGAGTCACCTGAAAAAAAAATGCCTGAAAGCCAATGATATTTATTTTGTCTCTCCCCTTCCAGCCCAAGTAAACATCAGACAAAACTGAGTGCCAGAGTCTCCAACTGTGATTTATGCCTCTCTGGGCACATTGTCACTGGCTGACTTGCAAATTAAGTGTGTGTTTGTTTGGACAGGATGAAAATTTTAGTAATAAAAGTGGTTTGTCAGTACATTTATTTTTAAGTAGTTAATGCTTTCTTGAAGATTTGTTTTAAATAAGGTACTACAGGATGTTTCTGTTGTTTAAAACTGACATTTTGCATTACAAACTTGGAGTGAAAGGCTCTTCGATAAGCACTGAGAGAGCTGTGAATTGTGAAAAGTTCCGATTAGATTGTTTTAATGAACTACTTGTTAGTTATTCCAAGATGGACTTTGCTAATGAATGTTGGGGTTTTTTTTCCCTTTTTCGCTGTTTCTGTGAGATTTCTTTATTGATAATTCAATGAAAGTAATTTATTTTTCAGCATTGGTTGGACAACACAAAAAGCATTAAAAAGCAAGTTAAAAGTAAGTACCCTTTCTGTTTTCTCTTGGGATCTCATATTGAACATGCAGGAGGCACAAGGAGTTGAAATGGGTGGTGGGGGGAAGTGTCCTGTGAGGGGAGACAAGACCCTGTGACAAAAGCCTCGCATGGTGCTGCTGATTGTTTAATGACCTCTTCACTCTGTAGCTCATATTAATTTATTCTAATGTCCTTAATTAAACATGTTAGAGGCTCATTAATTATAGTTTCAATGGAGTCAAAGCAGCTGAAGATGCTTTAGTATTATAAATAGTTATCCTTGTCTTGGACCTTCCATCCCTTGGGGCAGTCCTGAATGCCCAGATCTGTTGGGTGCACTGAGAGACCTTACCTGCTGCACAAGGGTTTAGTGTGGGCTGGTTGTTTCAGTGACATGTGCTTGGGTAAACTGTGACATCGAATGATCTTCGTTTAGCAGCTTCCTTGCTCTCCGCTGTGGGAAGCCTTCAGGGATTTGCGGTGCTGTGTTAGTACAACAGAGGTTTTGGAAGCACCGAGAGAGAGAAAATTCCTCCTGTCAAATGCAGGAATCAGCAGAGCGCTGCACATTTTTAAAGAACTGTTAATCCATCCTTTTGCTGAATTAACTCTTTGGTTTCCAGAAAAGATGATTATTTCACAGAAGGGTCTCTTAAATCCCCTCGAAATATGTCTAAACTTCTGTGGAATAAAGGGGCCTGAGTTGTCAGCAGTGGGTGTCTCCCAGAGCGCTGGGAAGGTGTTGCAGAGACCAACAGAGTACGTAGGGGTTTGGTCAACTGCAGAGCCAAGGGGCACATCTTTCTTGAGTCCTTAAATATAGAGATCAACCTAGGTTCGTGTGCTCTTGGCGAGATAAATCGACTTAATGTCATATGACTGTTGGATTGAGTTGTAACACATAAAAGTATTTGTGTGTATATAAAGTGTCCTTTCACCCTGATGTTTTTCCTGCCTTAAGACCTTGTGGTAGGACAGAGCCAATTTCAGTCAAGTTTTGTGGTGTGATTCTGTGTAATAAAGAAAAGATGTCTCCTCCAGTAACTGTTACTGTTGTCTTGAATTATTTATACTTTGCAGTTGGCCCACCCTATTGTCTGCATTTTCGTGTAAAGTTTTACTCATCAGAGCCCAACAATCTACGTGAAGAACTAACAAGGTAAGAGGGATTTGGGGTGAGAAATAGGTATCCAAATAAGGCCAGGAAAATGTTTTTGTAGCATTTATTTAAACAGTTGTATGATGTTTTGGAGAATTCTGTAGAGCTGCTTGCTTACTTGGCTTTGTGTAATGTAATGTTTCTAATGTAATTCTCATGAAATAAATGAGCTATAATATCAAGAGATCTATAAATTTACTGCATTGCGTTATGCACTGATTTTCATTAGGTAATCTGGCAACTGATTTGAGTAGCTTATACACAGTGGGCAGAGGTTTCTACTGAAGAGAACAGATATCATTCCTCTTTCTTTATTCTTCTTAAGCTGCATTTAGGTTCAGCTGTATGCAGTCATCCTATCTCTTTAGGCACAAAAGCATTGAATTGCAAGTTAGAGCTTCTCTTTGGCAAAAATAAGTTCACTGAACATTTTGTTACTTCTGTGGTCTTTGCAGAGCTTATGCAAAGGGAAAATAGTATTTTGCTACCATGTTGAGGTGTGAGTTGACAGTACTATATGTGTAGGATTGTCGTATCAGGTGAGCAGCAGTTTGTCTTGATTAAAGCATTTCACAAACCCATTCATAATGCTGCATTTCGTGTTGGACTGAGTCACACTTGGGGTGCTTTGAAAGAGAACACAGCCTACCATCTGTCAGTAGTACAAATCTGTTGTAAAAGGCATCTTTTCTTTGCATTGTCACCACTGCTGATGATAGGTTTTGGAGAGAAAAAGAAGTTGTTATGTTTCCTTGGTAGCTGTAGATGCTTCGTACCCTCAGCCATTTGTAAGAGCGTAAAGTGCATTTGTTTGTTGTTCAGGTTTATGTCTGTGTGGATCTTTGATCTGCACTTTAGCCAAATCCCTAGGAGTGCTACCAGGAAGATTATAGCAGCATTACTCCTTACAGCCATATGTACCCCGTGCAGCTTCATAACTTAAGGTTATAACTGCTTTTCTTAATTGCTTTCCTGCCAATCTGGGAAGAATGTTTTATCTCCCCATTCATGTTCCTGAATAAATATTTAACTGTCTTTAAAAACAGTAACCATAAGCAAAAATCAGACCTACATCTGTATCTACCCCTCTGAAACATTTTCATCCATTCTGAGTTCTGCCAGTCAGACCTTGCTATACAGGTTTTAGTGTGGCAGACCTGAAACCTGAGGGCTTTTAAACCTTGTCTGTCTGCTTAGCTAATCCCCCAGAACAGGAGCACAGCAAGTCTTTCTTCTGTCTCGAGACAATATTATGTCTTAAAGAAGCAGTGGGATGGGGAGCTCTGCTGTGGGTTGTAGATGTCACTAGCAGGGGCTTTCCAAGGGTTCCACCTTTTCTTTGTGCGGCAGGACACCCAGCTGGAATCCCTTGTCAGCTTTCACCCATGCAGCTTGCTCACATTTTCTGCCAGCTTCCCATCAGGTGCCACCAGTCAGAGGTCATGTAACACAGCCTAAGCACGGGAAGTATGCTGGAATTGTTTGCAAGTGTTATGTGGCTGATAAGCATGGACTGGTCACACCCACGATACGCTGGAGGCCTGTGCTCATTCTTTTGGTATCTGGGGTCAGTACCAAACAAATTTATTCCCCATGTAGGGGGCCAGTGTTCAAAAGGCTTTGGATAGTAAATGGTTTGGCAAAGTATTTGTGGATTTCCAAGGGACCTGCAGGAAAAATGCATCTGTTTCATGTCTGTGTTACGTGAGTACGAGGAGACATAGGCACATGTTGAAACAGAAGCATTGTCTTTGGTTTGTGCACAAGGCTTCTGTTCATCTGTAATAGAGTTCAAACTGGATGCCATCATGGATGCCAGCGTTTTAGTTGATGAGAGTACTTCTCTTGTTAAATGAAAGCTGTGGAGCAAGGGGGCTATGTACCAGATGCATTGGTGTTGCACACCAAAGGGATGGGAGCTTTCTATTCAATATTTGACTGATTCCTAAGCAAGAAGAGTACCAAATAAACAAGGCAGTAAAGGAAAGCTGGCTCTGAAGAGTAAACAATTTGAAAAGGCTGCAGCCTCCTCTTTATTTCTTTGTCACTTTGCAGTCAGCTTTCTGGGTTAGATTTTAACTAAGCAATCTGTATTAGGAACTTTATTTTTGAGAGACTTTAAAATATTCATTCTCTTATGAGATCGATTTGTCTATGAACAATGAAAAAAATGCAGAAGGTGCAAGTTGTTCTTTGCCAGGTAGGGTGAGAAGAGAATAAATGAGACTTACTTAGGTATCCTGTTTCTTTTTCCATGCAACACAGTAGTTCAACTTGTGACAACTTCTAGTTTTGGGTTTATTTCATTTGAAATGTGTGCAAAGCATACAGGCCCAACTGATAAAGCCTTCAAAGAACACAATGTGGTTTCTTCAGTCTTGAAAACCATGTAAAGTGTCGGGGTCTAACTTCCGCCTGTTGGCAGAGTGACGCCAATTAATGACTTTTCTTTCTTATTTAATCCTACAGGTATTTATTTGTTCTGCAGCTAAAACTGGATATTCTTAGTGGAAAGTAAGTATTCCCAATAAACAGCATTTTAAACAGTTACAGTGTGTTTAACATAGGATTTATTAAACTTATATTTGTATAATTAATAAGTTTTGCTAAGTAATGTAATGTTATTTTTTCTCTAAAATACTACTTTTGTGTGCATGAGTAACAGCAGGGGAATGCTTAAATAATGTAGTGCTTATTCTCTTGTTAATTTGCTGAAAATCTACTAATCCGTTTCACTTATTAGCCCAAACATTTATGGTTTCTCACTGTTGAGTTGTCTACTAATAGTGTCAGCTAAAGTTTTAACAAGGCATTTCTCTTCTGGCAGATTGGAGTGTCCTTTTGACACCGCCGTCCAGTTGGCAGCTTATAACATGCAAGGTGAGTAGGTACGGGTGGGGAAGGATGAAGTTGCATGAACAGCTTTTGTGTAGACTCTTATTGCCTCTTTTAGTCTGTCCTTGTTATGTCCAGAAAACAGATTCTGCTCAGATGTAGGTGATCCAACATGAAACAGCGCTTCTGGATTGTAATTTTGCTGAGAACATTTATAGAAAATTACTCAGTTCCTCAGGAAACAGATCAAGGAAGTTCTGAACATAAACAGCTTTGCCCTAAACTCGTTTTCTCAGGTGCTTGTGTGCAAACCTGTCTACTTTCACACAAGACCTGAGGTCTGCAGTCTTTCTGAATTGCTTTCATGTAGTAACACAGTTCACTTGTTTTCATCATGCAGTTTCTGCCATGTGTTTTCTTCGTTATACAAATCAGATGCAAAATTACTTTGATTCTGCACTCAATTGAAAAGTCTTGTGTATGAAAACCACCCAGCTTTTGACTTCAGCTTACTTGTAGAAACATGTTAGTGCCTCATCTTTCATGCTCGTACTTGAACATTTATGGTTGAACTACACTTGTTGCTATTTCAGATCCTTCTTCAACCAAAAGAGGTGACATACTGTATTTTTTTTTCTCAGCTATACAGCACAATGCTTGAGTCATCTGAGACTTATTAATGAGTCATCTTTGATTTTTTTTTTTTAATTCCAAATGAGACTCCAGCATCCACAACTTCTCTGAGAGCTGTGGTCTGACCTTCAGTTGCTTGTATAGGTTGTGTTATCATTGGTCTTCATGGCCACTGTCTTCTGTTGTTTGGATGAGGGTGTGATCGTAACAAATCTGAAGTTTGCCATGGTTTCAAGCAGGGGAACTGCTAAAAGAAAGAGAGGAGGCTTGAAATTCTAGAAGTGTCTGCTGGAGTAGGCTTGTGTGTCCTTTTTGGAAAATACAGCTATGTGGCCTCATTCAACCAGTTTGAGTCTACAAAAAAAATCCCAGAACCTGTGCTGTAAAGCTGTTGTACAGTTCTCTTTGATGAAAAGGGAATTTGGAGATTTGCCATGTGTTTGTGCTGCACAAATTCTCTACACAACATTCATCTAATAAACAAATGCGTTACTGCACTTACTTTGTAGGAGTTCGGTAACAGGACTAAGTCACTGAAATTTTTTCTTTTACGTATATTTTCCAAAACATGTTTTATTCTTCAGGCTGGAGCTACTAATGGCCCTGATCATGTGTAGGTATAGAGAGTTGGGATTAAACTCTCTATGGGTATAAAGATACCTGCCTTTTTAACCTGCTCTTTGGTGTGGAAGGAAAACAGTTAGAATACATTCCATAGTTAAAAATATTAGCATTGTTAGAGCCTTAAGATACGGGTTCAGAGGATAAGTTTTTTGAAGAACAAAGTGATCTAATTAGGCTATATATGCTTTGCTTTTTGTGCTGGCCTTTTCTCTCTCCACAATGAGGCCCGTAGCAGGGCTTTAATCTTACTGTCTGACAGCTGTGTACTTTTATTTAAATCAGCTGGAACCTAAGCTGGCTTTGACAGCATTCCTTTCAACAGAGGCAGGCGTTTTAGTGGGAGTAAATTATTATAGAACTACAGACTTCCTCAGTCAGCATTTAAATAAAAAAAAAAAAAAAAAAGGGAGGGGGTGAAAAGACTGTTCTTACGCTTTTGCAGGGTTAAGAAATCCAAGAAACAGGTTTTTAGATTATAGGTCATTTTTCTACCTGTGGAATACTGTGTGTATTTATATGACTTTTCCAGATGTTCCCAAAGATGTCACTATTTTTTTACCTACACAAATGTTTGTAGTTTATTTTTTCAGACAAAATAATTATTAGCCTGTATTAGACACCCAAGGTCCAAGTTAAAGAATTATTCCTAATTTTTTGGATATGAGCTGAACATTACGAAGCCGCTTGAAATTAGTGGGAGGAGCAAATGCTTAGTGACTCTGAAAATAGGACATTTTTATAAAGGTTTCTAACTGTGAGTTTCAGCATTTTAGGCACGCATCAGCCTTTAAAAGCTGGACTTTTTAGCATCTTGTGGAAAAAGGAGGTTGTGCTTTTGATGTGGCACACCCATGGACAAGCGTGTTCCAGTACGCTCTCTAAATAGCATCTCTTATTGCCTCTGTTGACCGTGCAGCAGTGGACTAGATGAGCCATCTGACTGACCCAGTAGGGCATTTATTCTGCTCTTGGATGAAAAGGAGAGCGACAAAGAACAGCTGCATGATTGTGTTCTGACACAGTCATTTTAGCAAGAGAGGGGGATTTATCATCATAAAACCAGAGACTGATTTTTAGAATGGACAAACAGCTTTATGAAGTATCAGAACTATTTGCTTTTTACAAATCTCCAGTTATTTTGTTTTAATAATTTAAGGCAAAATTCCATTGTAACTTTAGTCAGCTGTCATCTCAGTAGAGACTTCAGTGATAAAAATGTTAAAAACTTTCTGCAAGAAAGAAAAAAGGTGAGTTTCAAGGATGTTGGTAACTTCCATTTATAGGAAGCTTGTTAACAAATATATAAATAGATTTTTGTAAAATTTAATGCAAAGCTTTTCTGCAGATGACACAACCATTTGTTCAGTGTCCGTAATCTCACTGTCAGAGAAGGTGACACTTCAAATATTGGGAGGACTGGAGGAGAAGGGGGTACACAAAAAGAAATTCAGTACTTTAGATTAACTAGAAAAGTATGCAAAAGTTCCCTTGTTTATTGGAACATTGCTTGACAATGCTGTTCTTTTGTAGCTGAACTTGGAGACTATGATCCTTCTGAACATGTCCCTGAACTGGTGTCTGAGTTCAGGTTTGTTCCCACTCAGACTGAAGAGATGGAACTAGCCATTTTTGAGAAGTGGAAAGAATGCAGGTACTAGAGCTCCCAGTGCATGCTAACCAGCTGTTTGCACTGATTTTTCTGTGAAGAGAATGTATTAAAAAGATACTGCTGACACTTCTTCTGTGGTCTTGTTCAGGAGTGTAATTCTAATATAATTCTGTCATATTTTGTAAGAGGATGTAATGTGAAAAATGAAGCTTTCCAAAGGTCTGAGTAAAACGAATCTTGAAATACAATTATTTTTGCAGCAGTGGTTTCAGATTAAAACTTACAAAAGTGACCTTGATGTTCATGAAAGCGAGTAAGTGTCAGCAGTGTTTAAGTTTTCCACAAACTCTCAGGAATTTCTTTTCCTCTTTCCTCATATACCAGTTTTTCCTTTCTGTGCTTTTTAAGGCATCTACCTAACAGCAAAAAATTTATTACAGGGGGCAAACACCAGCACAGGCTGAAACTAACTACTTAAACAAAGCTAAGTGGCTGGAAATGTATGGTGTAGACATGCACATAGTCAAGGTATGTTTAACCACAGCATGGTGACCTTTGGAAATGATAATGTTAGCTTTGTCCTGCTTTGCAACACTGGTTTTGCTTTAAAGGGGAAAAAACAGGAATATTGTACTCATCTAAACTGTGTTACAAGTCATCTGGCTTTGCATCACCATTCCACTTTATAGTATAGATTTCTAGGAGGTATAACTTTAGTCCAAACATATCTCCTTTGTGTTAAATATGATTGGTGTGACAATATATACTACAATTTGTATTTAGACTAATCACTATGTGAAAATCATAGTAATTAAAATTGGCTGGGGTCCAGTCAGCTACCAGCTGAAAAACTGTAAGTAAAATAGGTCTCCTGTGGAGAAGGAAGTGCAGAGGACTGTACAAGGAGGTCCTTATTACACAGACAAATCAAGAGACTTTTAATTTTCCACTTTAGTCACCCTTTTTGAGGAGTTGCAAACTAGAAAAATCCATTGCATTAAGGTAATTGAAACAAGAAAGTTTTATAGTATAAAATAAGCAGATAGGTGTTTAGTTATAACACCATAGAAATAAGCTACATTAATCACTGGAATAATTTGGATATAGGGTCGAACACCAAAATGAACGTAATCTTTATTTTGTGGCATTTAGGCAAGAGATGGCAATGATTACAGCCTGGGACTAACACCTACAGGAGTTCTTGTGTTTGAAGGAGACACAAAGATTGGTTTGTTTTTCTGGTAAGCTCCCTGATTAAAATATATTTAATCTCTAATTAAAATACAGTTTGGATTTTTACTCTTTTGTTTCTTTTGCACTAGCAAAAAAAAAAAAAAAGTTTGGGATGTGAGAGCACCATGAATATTAGATACCTGCAGAAATATTCTGGAGCTTGTGAGTGTTTTCATGGTGTCCAAAAATATTCTTTCTTCTTTGCACGTTCTTGGTTGATAGGTTAATAGACTGTATGTGTAACATGCTAGAGGCAAGTAAAAGATGGAATAACTTCAGGATGTTTTTATTTTTTTTTTTATTGTGTGTGGTGGTGTATTTTGCACTAGATTGCTTTGAAAATGAGTATGCACCCAGTCAGTGAAATTAAGTTTTTTCAGGTGTTCTAGCCAAGTGTTACGCCTTACTGTTGAAAAAGAGGCAGAAGCAATAGTACCTGTATAATTTTTACATATGCTGTCATGAAATGGTGAAATTCTGCAGGGCTTTACACTGCATAAAACACCAAGTGTTTTGCGTCCAGGTACACGGGCTTTTACGGGTTTTTAAGTGCTTTATTCTGTAATTCCCATCCAGTCTTCCAAAGCTATACAAAGAATGAGTGGGCAGATGATGAGGTAATATTTCATCACATTAATAGGTAGTTTAGGTTAGCCTAGTCCAATTTTATAGAATTCTCAGAAGAATGCTCACTTTGTGGCAGAAATGTTATCTCTGCATCTTGACCCTCCACCATCGATCCTGGATATTCTGTTGGTGGGGGGCAGGAGGGTGAAGTGTTTGCATTTTTGTGTCGTGTTCTTGTTCTGTTTGGCTGGGATTTTCTGAAACAGAGTTGTCATAGGAATTGGTCTGTGATATATTATACAGTGATTTACTTTTCTTTAATAAAGCAGAATTATTTTGTCCAGCCTTTGGAACTGTCTTTCCCAGTTCAGTGCTGTGGGCTTCTGGAAGAGTAGGGAAGCAAGAGTATTTGGGTGGAGTTTGATTTCAGTTCAAGTAATTATTATTTTAAGTTCCTATAGAATTATCTCTGTAGAAGCTGCTGACTTCTTATCTGTAAGGTTTCTAATTAAGTGTTACATTTTGAAGTAATACATTGGTATCCACAGTATAATCAAGCCCTACTGCATCAACTTCAAACACACACAAAACCAGGAAAATAATATTTGGTAGAGAAGCCTGGACCAGCATGTCAGACACCTCTCAGTGAGTTACGAGGAGAGGTAGGCATAACCTGCTTTTTCTGTTCATCTTGCAGGCCAAAGATAACAAGGCTTGACTTCAAGAAGAACAAACTCACACTAGTTGTTGTTGAAGATGATGAACAGGTAGATAACTATCTGTTTGGTTACATGTCAGTCTTGATTACACAGTACTAGTTCATATACCCCTGATCTCTTTCTTTACATTTAAGTTTTGAGAATTAACGTGGATGCCTTGCAAGATTTTTGGTTGTGAGTTAGGAGGAGGGGAAGAATGAAGGGACTTAAGTACAAGATAAATAGGCTCAATCCACTTTTCCTCACTCTGTTTTGAAAAGGGGAATACCTTGTGGAACTAGTGTAGGCCTGATAATTTGGAAACAGTTCCAACTCATAGCTAACTAGCTAGTCAGCTGCTAACCTGTAGCTATTCAGAGGTTTGACTTGTTAAATATATGGGCTCTGGCCCTTTCCAACTTCAGACAACAGAGCAGTTCATTAAAGCTTCTGAAAAGGTTGATTTTTCTGCCTTAAATATTTTTTTAAACATACATTTCAGTATTCATAAAAAACAAATTTTATTTGGCTTGCATTGAATTGTAGCTTTGACTTATTGAAGCCCCTTATAAATTGTCTGTGTGCTTTGTGTGCTTTAAGGGAAAGGAGCAGGAGCACACTTTTGTCTTTAGACTGGATCATCCCAAAGCCTGCAAACACTTGTGGAAATGTGCAGTGGAACATCACGCCTTCTTCCGGCTCCGAGGTCCTGTCCAAAAAAGCTCAAGTCGATCAGGCTTCATTCGGTTAGGATCCCGGTTCCGATACAGGTCCGTGTCATCTGTCATTTAGCATGTATCTTCTGTCATTTCTTGCTTTTTTTTTTGGATTATGAGTGGAAACATTCATCTAGGACATACAGAGCAGTGAAACTTGAAGCTGAGTGTGTTGCATTATTGGTTTTGTTAAATCATATAGATTTTTCCCCTGCATTTTCTGATTTATCTTTAGGTGAGTCTGGTCTGTGCAGTAAGAAACCAAAGGTTTCTCAAGGTTTTTTAAATGAACCATAGAGGATGGATGATTGACTTGCACAGTTGGGGACATTGCAAGTCTTTTGACTCCTGAGTTACTGACTTTGAGTAATGGTAGGACTTCAGAAGCCTAGGATAATGCCTGCTTCCATGTCAGGCACTACCCATGCAACTATTAGATTTCCGAATGGCTTGTGGTCTCATTCTAGTCTGCAGGACGCTGTCAGTTGCCCCACCAGTGTTGGTGAGAACATATGGAGGGGAGTAGGGCATGACCCCCGGCAGTATGCGTATACTTTGCTTCCATTTACAGCAACCACACCAGTACCATCTAGTCCACTTCAGAAAGGATCAGTGGTACTAAGACATCAGCAGATCATGAGGCTGCTACTGCTTTTGGGGCAGAGTCTGGCCAGACCTGGGGAAAAGGGGACTTGCCTGGGAACAAGAGCATCTAGACGCTGGTTTATAATCCTGTTACCATCTTTCTCTATGACCTTTGGCACCATACCCTAAGCTTTACTCTCTCCTAGAATTTTCAACCAAGATCTTCCTAACGACTTGACCACAGAAATACACAAAGGACAAATTTGCGTTTTCAACAACTTAATGTTTAAGGAGTCATTGCTTCAGCTTTTTGTCTTGGGAAAGTGGAGTGAAGATTAGGATGTTTCTAAAATTCCTTCCCTCTTTTGTGAAAGGCCTTCTGAGGTGTTAAGTTGGGGATTTTTTTAATAGAAGTGAGATCAGATTATTAAGCTATGAATTTAAAACAGAAATGTGATGTTTTGATGACCAGTGTCTGTACTTTGTCATTAAAAATAAGTTATTTACTGTGTTCTACTTTTACATGGCATTGTTAGTGGGAAAACAGAATATCAAACCACCAAGACCAATAAAGCCAGGAGATCAGCATCCTTTGAAAGGAGACCTAGCAAGAGATATTCAAGACGAACACTACAAATGAAAGGTAAACTATTTACCTTCAATTCTGAGAAGTACAATCCACAATCAAGTAGTCATATCCTTTAAAGGTACAGTGTAGGAATTTTTCTGTCACTGTTTGCCCTCCTCTTGAGTTTTCAAAGTTAGGTTTTCTCTGGCTTATTTGGGAGAGCACATATATTTATCAGAAAAAGCCTGTGTCCAAAGCATGTCCTTCTAGCTTGCCTAGAAGGTAAAACACCCATAAATTTTGCACAATAGGTCTCTGTATGAAGATGGAAAACTTGGATCCAGGAAACAGTAATATATTAATGATAATATTTGGAATTTATTAATCAACTTTCAAATTTTTGTCACTGATATTTTCTCATTGTTCTTAGGAGTTGCACTCTGTTGTTACAACCCATCAGCATGTGATATTCACCTTGTCTCTTATTCCAGTTCTTGCATAGGTCAAGTGTGACCTGCATGCATGCTTTCATATACTTGCATAAATCCTGCTCTCTGGTTTGCTGTTCGTATTTCTGATTTTGTTTTTCCAATTTAGAATTTTATTTTTCACACGTTATACATGGGAGACATGCAACTTAAGATCTTTTAGTTGCCTGCTTTTAGGCAGTGCTAAACTATTTTCATTATTAATATACTTAATATTTAACTAGTAATCTAATTACAAATTAGCTTTTAATTAACACTTTCTATTTTTGCAGCACATTCTGCTAAACTTGAAGAAACAAGGTAAGAAGCATTCCAGTATTTGAATTTCGTTTGATCTTTGCCACCTGTACTTCAGCACGTGTCTGGAGATGGAAGTTATAAGATTAGTTTAATGTAGAGCGCGTTAACCTCTTAACTGTGGTTTTGCTGTGGGTTTTGTGTTTGTTTGCTTTACATGAAACCTGCTGTTCAAAGCAAAGCTGCTGTGTTGCTGTCACATTGAAGGTTTTGCCAGACTTGCTTACTAGCAACTTACTAGCAGGCATAGATGTTCATTTATGACTAGCTATGATTCTTGCTAGGATATGACCTGTTCTTTTGTGCTGCCGTGTACACAGATCGGTTAAAATCATGTGAGGATCTCTTCTTTCTGAGATCCACCTACTGTGGCTGTGTGACTGAAATACATCATCAGGTGAAGGTCAGAGACAGGGAAAATATGATAAAATAAATGTCTGAAATATTTTGATGGTTTTATATTCTGTACTATGTATTTATTTTTATATAAGTAAGCATTTATTTTTTTTATATTTATACTAAATTATTAATGGCCAACATTGAGAGGGAGGCCTTTTGGTTCTTTATTTCTATGCCTAGAGTCTTTCTGCACGTGTAGGTTCATACTTGCTGTTGCAGTGTAAAATGCTCATCTGAATCCGAATCATACAGTCTTCATATCCCCTTCCTTAAGGGAAGAGTGGAAACCAGGCTGAAAAGAATTACCTGGTAGTGAAGGAACAGAGTCACTCAGCTCTGCTCTCTGTCCATTGCCCTAATAATTTGTGAACATTGCAATGATCAATTGCAACCAGATTATTTTTAAAAAGTAGGTACTCGTAGATGTTAAGCATCGTGACAAGTCAGGAGCTGGGTAAGGAATGTCAAAATAACATTTCACAACAACAGGCTTAATACAGCCATAGGTTTTCTGTTGGTAGCAGCAGGGTTAATTCTTGTGTGGGAGGGGGAGAAGTCTAGGAAGCATGGGGACAAGGCTGCAGTTGCTTCGGTGGAGGTCTCTGTCTTTGCAACCTTGTGCATTGTCTTTTCTTTTTATAAAATGGGATAGTACTCTTCAACACTGGGTCATTAAAGGGCTTAAAGAACCTCTGCATGCAAAGTGTGACTGATTAATTAGTGCTCTCATCATGCTGTGTTGTCATGCCCTTCTCTGAGTTTCATGCTGCTTAGGTCATTCTCAGAGTAGGAAGAGAAACTTCATATGCAGTTTCTCCTTCTGATAAGACGACGGTCTTCTAATCTACACCTAGGTGTGGCACTGTTATGTTAGTCTCCAGAGCAGTCTATGCCATTTCTGAAACTCTACACTCGAGCGTTGCTAATTGAAATGCATCATGAAAGATGTATGTTGTTCCATTCTTTTGTGTTAACTCATCACAGGGGAATGTGCTACCCAGAAAGCATTCCTTAATATTCCTGTGAAAGGTGCACTATTCTGTGGTAACCTCCACGAAGGTGCAAAGCTGGGAAACGGGCAAGGAACAGCTTATTTGATCTTGACTTTATGGTATAAAGTAAAATAATTCTAAACAATTGCTGAAGTAGATACAGAAATCTATTTGAATTGCAAGGTTGGATAGCTATTGTCTAGGCCACAAATCAAAAGATTAATGGGTCATAGGAGACTGGAACCTTTTTTTTTTTTTTAAAGATTAGAAGTCTAAAAAAAAAATTTGCTTTGCATGAGATTTATATGCTTGATTATCATGCAGGTTATTAAGTCTCATGAAAATGTGAAATGTCTCTTGCAGATTCAGAAATCATCAGGAGTGGAGATATAGATCTTATTTAATTTATTAAATATATTAAATATTTAATAATATAAAATTATTAATGCTGGACTAAGCTGCTGTGCACATTATTTTGGCTGCTTCTAAAACTCTGAAGCAGTAATTCAGTCCATTAGAGGTTCTGTGCAGAAGAAACTCATGAATTTTTCTGATAAACTTTGTGATGTGAAACTTCAAATCAGAAGAATTCTAGTTGTGGAACAAACGTAGTATCTACAGCGTATAGGTGAGATTTCAACAATGTCACATTTTGCTGGGTGTTTAACTAAACCTGTATTGGTTTTGCTTTAAAAGTGCCCCACCTTACTGCTAAATCAGGCAGACTTTCTATACCAAACTGGTTTAGGAAAGGAAGAGGACAAACCAGATGAATTATACATAAACTACAGGTTGAACAAATCAAAAATAATGTGATACCCTTAATTACCTAGAATGAGGCAGCTGACCTAAAACGTAAGTTTTTCAGTTTTCTTTTGAGAACAGTTAAGTACTTTGGAGAGATCTCTTTCTGAAAATCCTCGCAGTTCTGCTAGCCTGCAAAAATAGTTTGTTGACCTAATTCTGATTTAAATTCTTTTTGTCTTTTAGTACTGCAAACAATGCTGTTATCAACCAAACTAATGGATCACAAGTAAGGACTTTCTCATTCTTTTTAAAGGCAGTTTTCATGTATTTCAACTAAGGACTTTGTTACTTATTATTAAAATCCAGTGATTGACCAATTGAAAGTTACAAATTATTAACTACTAAATTGCATGCCAAGAAATGACTACTAATTTGCAAGCAAGATAATTGGTTAATTTAGTAATATAGTAAGGAAGTAAGTATCTTCCTTCCTGAAGTAAGGAAGATACCACATGCCCTAGTACTATATAAATTATGCTATTTATAGACACAGGTTTTCATAGGTACACAAAGTACCTTTGTGTGAGATGGTTATTGTCCAAAGCACATTAATTCTCTATGCTAAGTAACATTAAAAAAAAGGCATTATCGTCAGCACCTATGTTGATTCCTTGTTACAGTATTTTTTCTCTGAAAGAGGAGAATACACCTGCAAATTAAAGAATATTTTTTTAGAAAAAAGTCAGTGTTTTCTGAGTTTGAGAAGGAAATCAGAGACACCTGCCTCCTCAGTACTTGTACGCAGAATACCTTGTTTCACTGAAAAGGGACGTTGGCATAAGGTCACTCTCCCTCTGAGTATCAAAAACAGGACTTGGAGTTTGGAAAGACCCTGTCTTGCTTTCTGGAGTATTTCAGAAGGGGTCACATATTGGCGAAAATACGAATCTGACTTGTTTTTACATTAAAATACCCAGTCTCTGCTGATAGATTTCTGCTCTGCCCAGCCTTTTGCCTTCTATGCAACAGGAGGAGCATTTTTTTCAGGAGCAGTTGTGTTTCAAATGGCAGTCCAAAGGCCTGCAACCCAAAGGTGCCGCCCATTATTGCAGTTACCTACAGGAGGAAAGCATTACTGCATGAATTTAAAAAGGACACAGTAGGCCATAGCTTTTTACTGAAATCTTTGAGCAGCCTTGGATTCATTATGATCCCAGTACTGTGTGCAGTACTGGAAAAGACTGGGCATAAGCATCCAGTGCTGTGGAAGTAATGGAAAACAGCCTTGTTCTAACTTTGTGCTTAAGGAGAAGTGGTGATATGTTTTGCTGTGTGTAATGTGTCATCGCTTCATGACTGTGTGTACAGTAACTTGTTTATGTTCTGTCTCCAAAGAGCTGGAATGCAAAGCCAAACCTACCTGTCCTTACAGCGATTCCTTCTGCCCCAGTCTTAGTGGAAATAGAAAACCTCCCAAGGAGTCCAGGAGCCAGCCAGCAAGACAAGAAGTGGTATGTTGTGTTTTGCTGGGAAATGAATTTTGCTTACTTATGCATGATTCAAGTGACTGTTTCTTTATCTGCACTTAAATAAGCTGCCTTCCTTGTATCTTTAACCTAAGTTGACAGTCAGGTTAGTGATGATGCAGCTGATTTGTTGCTGTGAATGTAGTGTGGGGAGGTGAGGACAACAGGCTTAGTCACTGCCAACCAAAATAAAATTTCGTCAGGGGCTGAAGAAATTATTAAATCAGGAACAGCATTTTCAAGTCTTGGAGAGAGCTGGATCCTTCTGATTTGCTGTAGTACTCGTTGTAACCCTTTATTTGGTATCATGGGACCCAAGGACTTACCTTGATCCTTAACAAAATACAGAACCTTGTAAACCGGTATCCTTATGAATCTCTTTTGAACCTTTTGAAATAAGCAAGCTGATTTTTTAAAATTATCTTGGGGAGAATGGGAGCTTGAGGAAAATGACACAAGCTGAAGATAAGAGCTTTGATTTCATGTAGTCAGAGTATTTGTTTTATGGATTGGATGCATCTCAAAATGAGGATGATTTGTCTGAAGATAAATGAACCGTGTAATTTATCTTTTCTTAAAGTAATTCTATATTGCAAAGCTATTTCAAAACCAAAACTGACGTATATCAGCCCAGTACTTGTGCACACGTTCTCTTAAATTTTTCCGCTTCTTTTGCATTCAGAGGCTGCATGGCTTACCCTAGAAGGGTAAATCTGGTTTCTGTGAGACTCTCCAGGAGCAGCAGCAATGGAATGGAGCAATGTGAAAGCTCTTATCCTAAGCAGTTTCAGCCCTCAAGAAAACGGGTCCTTCTCCCATTGTCAGGCCTATCAACCTGCTTTGCTTCAGTGTCTCTTAAAAGTAGATGATACCTGTTTCTAACAGTGCAATGACAAATGTACTTTAATTTCATAAATCTTATTGATTAAAGACTTTTAATACTATAGATTGTGAATTATAAGGGGAGTGGGAATTCTGCTTTATGTGTTGCATTTTATTGAAGTTTCAATCAGAACATATGATCAATGCTGTTTTTCTTTCTTTTGCCCTTGATTTGTCTAGTATCTGAAATCTGTGCTTGTCTCTGGTGAGATCCTGTTGATCGCTCGATTCCTGACATGGTGGTGGGTGAAAGGTGGTGGTTTCTTTATTCTTCAGCATTCTCAATATGGTTTTATTTTTATAACTGCAAGATGCGTGCTAGAAGCCAGGATTTCCTTTGGTGGAAGCGTTTGACTCTTGTTCCAAACAGCTGCTCTTGGGCATCTGATTCATGCTGGTGTTCTTGCTAGTGTTTGCAAGGTTTCTGTTGCTTATTGAAATCCTGCTGCTTTTGTTCAGAAGCAGAGAGGACTCTGTAGCCAATCTCTTTCAATTTTGGTTTTGTTACACCCTTTTTAGGATTACAACTTGAGCCTGTCTGTCTTAACATTGTCAAGGAATCTAAGCTTACGTGCCAGCTACCGCACTATGTAGCCTTTCTATAGAAGAGTGGGAGTGAATACAAAATATACCTGCATGTAACCCAAACCAGTATGCTGTAAAGAAAACAAACTGCTTGGCAATTGATGTGTTTTAATGGCGAGTGTGCTTGCATTGTGTATGTGTTATGTTTCTTAGAGACATATTATTATTGAAGGCAGTTGTCTTCTGGCAAGGAGGTTTTAATGTGTTCACTGGAAACAGTACTGCCCATAATGAAGGGCAAATCCAGCTGTAGGAAGACAACAGTTTGGAGCTGAGTCAGCATTTGAGCTACGTTCTGGTTTTAGAGATGGGAAGTGGGGTTAGGTTAATGTAATTGCCAGAACATAATGTATTTTTTGCAGGGGCTGTGACTTGGCTGTTGCGCCTTCAAGTCTTGGTGTCTTGGTGCTGCTAACAAGATCTCTTTTCAACTGCTGCTGTCTTTAATTGGCCTGTTTCTGCATGAATTATCTTTGCTTCCTGTCAGAAAAAATAGTCTTCTTTTAGAGAGAGTTTGCCAAGGATTGTTGAGAACACCAAAATCTTTTGGACTGGGGATTTTGTAGATGGTTAGATTGAAGGGGTTTAGAAGTAAGGTCCCGACCTCCTGAGTTCCTGTACTCTGCTTGGCAGATGCCTGTATTGGCTACCTCGCAGCTTAGATCCCTTCCTAATGTCAATGTTTCCTTTAATTTAAAATGTTAATGCTGCAGCTGCCAACAGCAATTGTGCCAGATTGTAGAAAGTACTTTGCCAGCTAAGAAGGATTTCAGTGGTTTGTTGTTTTTTTTATTTTTTCTCTTTGCTCCATTCCTATAAATTGTCAGTACAGGAAAACTGTACTGGTCGGAATGGTCTGAAAATGGTCTGAAATACTAGCTGCAAGGCTGGAAAGCCTGAAACACAGTCAGTGTCTTTCTAACTTTAGTCTTTTCTTGAGAACCTATTTCTGTGCAGGGCAGGAGACAAAGGATTAATAATTTTTTCCTCATTATGGAGTAAGTAGGGGTGTGGGGTTTTTTATCACTTGCTAGTGGATGAAGCTTTCACTTAACCACTTAAATTAGAGAACTGGGAAAATAGTGTAATGAACTGTTGAGGACTGGAGCCTTCGGCATTCATGGGTCACTTCCTCAGCATGTTTCACAAAACCCAAAACTCTGAATTTACTCATGGGTGACCTTTATATAAATCCTCTCTCTTTTCCAAAGGAGGACTATCCCTGAGCGTTAATCATTTACCACCGTTGTGGCTCCTGCATGCTTTTCTGCTTCCCTGCCTTAACACGTGTCATCTCCTAACTCCTGCACTGGCTGCTTGGCTGTCCTGGCAGGGCTGGGAGTACTAAACCAGGCTTTCTGGAACATGAGAAGGTGGAATTTGAGCTGGGGACTGTCCAGGACCCCTCTAGACAAACAGCAACATTATTTCCTCTATTTAATGACCCAAATCGAAACAAAGTGAATTTTATATTAAACTGAAGGAATACATTTGTTTTCCTTCTTTGAGTAGTTTAAGAAAAAGTGCTTTTTTTCCAAGCACTTTTTTGATACCTGACTGTGCCTTGCATCAGCCTCTCCCAAAACATACCAGTGAAGGATCTAGTACAACACAGAAAACTTGTTAATAAATCTTTGTCCATTTTTTAAAGTCTTAAAATTCAACTGTTTCAGTAAGTTGCTTATCCCTGCTGCTTTGGAGATGCTTGTGCCTAAAGCCTTACAGCTTTCTACCTAAGGGCTCTTGCATAAAAAGAGTCTTCAAAACACTGTTTAAATGAGTGTTCTCCCCTGCTCCTCTTTCTAGCTTTTGGAGAAGTTTATTCCAGCTATAGTATGGACTAGCCATGACTGTGCACAATATTTCAGTGGTTTTTATTTTAAGAATTCAAAATTTGAAATTTACAAACTGTTATACCTTCACATGCAAAATTAGAAAGCAGGATCTTAGTTTGTATTGTGAGCTTTTTAAAAATGGTTCTTTTTCTAACTAAGTTTTTTATGTTAATCAGGTATGGCTGCAGTCAGCTTCTTCAGTAGTATTTAGTCCCTTAGTTAACCAAATTGTGAATGATTTGTGTCTGCTGTTTGCTCCTGCACAGTAATGCTCATTTCTCTGAGTTTCTATTTTCTTCTCCTTTTTTTAAAAAAAAAACAAACTTGCATTAGAATCTACATTTTCCACTGACTTTGAAAACTGATGTTGCTTATAGATGCTTATTTCAGGTGTACATTTAGAACTGCCACTTAAACCCTTTCAGCTTCCTGCAGATAAAATGCACTGTATACTTGGGAGGTCTGTGCCTCCCTCACATTATTTTGTTCCAGCTGTAAAAGGCGCATGGTTCTTGCTCAGTTTTGTGAAGTGCTTTGAAATATGAAGTGCTTTTCATTTGCAAGTGTAGACAATGTATACATGAGCTAGCTTAACTTGTCATTTCAGACTTCTGCAAAAACATGCGTGATACTGAGCAGAAAAGGGGTTTATTTGACAGTATCGTCATGTGCCCATGTGCCTGCATGCCTCTCTCCTCCAGTATTTACCTTCCACCAGTGCCCTTTTTTCCTTGTCTTTTCGCATCCATCTTGCCTTTACCTTTCCTTTGCTTTTCCACCCTCTTTCTCACCCATACCCGTTTACTAATTGTGCCCCCTCCCGCTCCCCAACGATCCAGGCCCTTTGACGCTGCTGACCGCTGTCACCGTGGTGGAAGCCCGTGGGCCGCGTGGTCCCCGCCGAGGAGCCGCGCTGCGGACGGCCAGCACGCCGCTTTTGTCCATCAGCGCAAGGTGAAGAATTCAGGAATGCACAGCGGCGCTGGTACCTGTGCTGTCCAAACCACCATGACCAGTCTCTGAGCCGTGGGCCTTTCTGGAGCTTGAGAATGCTTTCTGGCAGAGGCTGGCAAATTGTCTTTTGAGCTGCCTCTAAGATAAGGACAACGGACCGAAAGCTGACTATGGAAGGGGAAAAAAGCTTTTATTATGAAGGCTCTGCATATCGGGCTGTTGGTATTTAGTCTTTAAAGAAAAAAACAAACAAACATATAGACCAGAATCCACCCATTGCTCTTACATTTAAAAGAGTTTGTATATATATATATATCTTTTTAATTGTGTTAAGATTTTTCTTAATTATTGAAATTTTTTTTTTTTTTTAGTTGGGTTTAACTGTGAGAGCCATGCAGGAAGTCACATTTGTAATAAAACTGCATGTGCAACCAGTGGGTTATATTGTGGTTTCAAAAATCCTGGAGGGACGGAGGATGTAACTGCCCCTCCTTTTGAACCATGATTATTTAAAAATATTGAAAATAGATGGTTGATCTGAAAACTAACTTTTTTTTTAACAAGTCCTTTTCTGAAGAATATTGTTTGGAAATGGAATAGAATTACTTTAATTTTTTTAAGAATAAAATAATCAGAACTCCTGAAAAGGCAAAGAGTAATATTTTTAGGTTTTTACTTTATAGAAAAGCTTATTTCTTTTTTGCTGCTGTGGTCCAGTTGAAATGAAAC